GTTTAATTCAGTGTGTGTCCTTGTATTCCTTGATGTTTAATTCAGCGTGTGTCCTTGTATTCCTTGGTGTTTAATTCAGTGTGTGTCCTTGTATTCCTTGGTGTTTAATTCAGCGTGTGTCCTTGTATTTAAATTCTTGATATTCCTATTTAACACCCTGACTGTCGTCTGTCCTAACTTTATACCTTAGAGAAGTAAATTTAGCAATATCAGCATAAATTTTTATTTAAATATAATCTATCAATATCTCAAGTTAAAATTAATCAATAATCAGCGCCAAATTTTCCTAGAACTTGATGATTTTAATTAATATTTAATTTTTCCGTATTGAGAATAAAATGCTAGACGGTAAATCCAAGTTTTGTAGACATTTTTGTTGAATACTTAAGACTTACAGATTACTGGTTGTGTTTTTGAGAGCCTAATAATGATCAGAATCATAAAAAATAATAATACATCTAAAATTTCTTCAGATATGTAAAGTATGTGGAATCCGGATAACAATAAATCAATGAAATAAAAAGTTGTTCTTATATGAATATACATGCATGTGAATTTACAAGAAGATACTTTGATACAAGTTTGTATAACATTAGTTTAACCAAGGTTATATTGCAAGGAAAGTTATTTCAGAGGTGTACGCATCTTTTGCACTATGTTGGATATTCTAGTTAGTGATACAGATATATATGCTGGATATTCTAGATGGTGATACAGATATATATGTTGGATATTCTAGTTGGTGATACAGATATATATGTTGGATATTCTGGTTGGGGATATAGATATTTATGGTAGATATTCTAGTTGGTAATACAGAAATAAATGATGGATATTCTAGTTGGTGACACAGATATATATGTTGGATATTCTAGTAGGTGATACAGATGTATACTGGATATTCTAATTAGAGATACAGATATATATGCTGGATATTCTAGATGGTGTCGAATATCCCACATATATATCTGTATCACCATGATGGTGATACAGATATATATGTTGGATATTCTAGTTGGTGATAAAGATATATATATATAATGGATATTATAGATGGTGATACAGATATACATGCTGGATATTCTACTTGGTGATACAGATATACATGTTGGATATTCTAGTGGGTGATACAGAGATATATGTTGGATATTAATCTAGAGAATCTATGATATCTTGGAGGCTGAAGCTGCATCCGCCTAGCGGTCAGTTTATCCCTACATTTGATTATGTGTACACTGTAGTGTGTTGTGGATATATTATTTATGTAAAATATATTCTATCATATATGTGTATTGTACAATATATCTGAATGTTATACCACAATACAATATATCTGAATATTCTTTCTACCCAAATCGACCTACTCAATATAAAACTTTTAAACTAAGCTAAAAACATATCCGTGGTCATACTGAGCTCCCCAGTCAAAGTTGAGGCAAATCGGATAAGGGGTTTATGACTTATGATCAGAAACACATTAAAACAAAGATATATATCTACTATTTTATATCTCCATATAAACTACTTTATATATATATATAGATATTTCTGAAGCAAATTTATTTCCTGCATCCTACAGGAAGGTAAAAAAATTTTATAATTAATTACTTAAATTATTGGAGGAACCTAGAGAAAAGTTGTTTTCCTCTTTCAAAGGTTTTCTAGAGTTTTGGAAAACTACATGATACTACATGTATGGAGATAATTAACTAAAATTGAAAACTTCGGATCAGGGAATTATCAATTATTTTGTCTCAGAAAATCATCAATCATTTTGTATCAGGGAATCATCAACCATTTTGTATCAGGGAATCATCAACCATTTTGTATCAGGGAATCATCAACTATTATGNGAATCATAAACCATTTTGTATTAGGGAATCACCAACCATTTATCATGGAATTATCAACCTTTTTTGATCACTGCATTCAATGCACTCTTATGCACTCTAGATATTATAAACTAGGCATTCAGAAATCTACTGAATAATGTCATCTATAATTAAAATATTATCAAGCATTTCGGATCAATAATCATCAACCATTTTAGTTTTTTTTACATTTAAAGATAACATTTTTGTTTTATCTACTTTTAACTGAACTAACGGTTAATTTATTAGTTAAAACCAAATGGCAACTAGATGAGCTGAATTGTCCGTTCTATTAATATATCCAACCGTACAGTACACGAACGGAGAAGGAAAAGTTCGAAAGTTCCCAGCCCTAGATAAAGGACGGATTCTTAAAGGCTTATAGTAAGCATGCATGTGTGTGTATGCAAAAAAAATGCTGTTGTTAATTTACAAAAATGGTTTTATATTTACATTATACTCTGTACAATGTACATGGTTACCAAGAATGGATGAGACGGCTCATAGTTCGCGAATGCCTTGTTCATTGCCTAGATCAAACTATGTCTAGTCAGTAATGCTTATATAACACTATGCCTAGATTTATAAATGCCTAATTAACATAATGCCTATATTTCTGAATGCCTAGATAACATCATGCGTAGATATCATAATGCCTAGTCACCCAATGCCTAGATAACATTAAAGCGAATTGAATGCCTAAGCATATTCAAGCAAGAAAGAAATGATAGTAGAAAATTCAAATGAATTATTACATACTAGCTGAAGTACGCCCCGGCGTTGCCCGTGGAAAAATAATTAGCAAAAAAAATTATCGAATTTTTTTAGTCTATAACACCACACGACCACCCATGACTGTCCACAACAAATTTCAGCCCAATCGGTCCAGCCATTTGGCCGGCTATACGCAATATATATATATATGCTGGATATTCTAGATGGTGTCGAATATCCCACATATATATCTGTATCACCATGATGGTGATACAGATATATATGTTGGATATTCTATTACGAATGTCTTGTTTTATTATGTAGATTTTATTGTATCTCACTAGGAATTAGGATTCACCAAATCACATTTGTTATATTTGATAGGCTGACCTTAAAACTTACAAATTTTTTATTGATAGATTAATTGAATTATCGTTTGTTGAATCATCATTACCATTAAGAAAACAGGCAAGAAAGAAATTGTACATTTTCAGAAAGTTGTTTGCAGATTTTGTAAAATTGTTACTGGATGGAATTTTTTTTCTCTCTCTTAAATACTCTTATGTCTAGGCATCATGTTATCTGGGCATTATGTTATCTAGGCATTATGTTATCTAGACATTATGAATTAGGCATTCAGAAATGTAGGCATAATATTGTCTAGGCTTTCATAAACTAGCCATTTAAGAACTATGCATTTACGAACTAGGCATTTACGAACTAGGCATTTACGAACTAGGCATTTACGAACTAGACATTTACGAACTAGGCATTCGCGAACTAGGCATAATGTTACTGAGCCGCTGAGACGAATGTTCACAGAGTCTTTTTGGTTGATTCTACAAAGCTGACATTTTTTATGTCAAATTATTATATTCAACATTTAAAGGCCGAGAATCAAACCTTCAGAATTTTAAGAGTTCCAGGTCACCATTACAGTCTCATCCTTTGTGGTTAACCCTGTTCTTTGCAGAACCGGTCAAACAAAACTAAATCAAAGATTGGGAGCTGATTTAAACAGATTTTGGACCATCTTCTCCATTATCATTTTTGTTGAGACAACTGTATGAGGTTCATGCCAGAGGTAGAGAGGATAAAAATGTCAGTAGAGGTCTCTTTAATTGAGAAATAGATAGAAGGTTTGAGATATATTGGAACTGAGATTATGTCGGATATTTTGTTGGGATTTGAACAGAAAATATTGAGAAGAAATAAATGAAATTTCTGTTTTCTGTGATTTAGCAAATTATGCACACCGATCTTAATTTGATTTTAATCTTTCTCTTCAATGTGATTTTCATTAAGTTATTTATTTGTTGTTGACATTTTTAATTAAGATTACTTGAATTCAGATTTACAGTGAAGCTATAAATAAACAGGATTTTTTGTAGGTCCTGAAGTGGTTTTACGTCAAATATAGTCATGCATATATTAGAGGAGGGGCAGCAGTTCTCTCCCCCCTCCCCCAAGGCATTCCAGGGGGGGGAGGAATCCGGGGGCTATAGGTTAAAGAGACAGTTTTTTGTGCTTTACTTGTACAACTTTCTGACCGCGTAACTTTTCTAGTTTTAATTTTAAAACTTGCCTGGTTGCATTCAAGGAATTCAAAATCTTTTCTCAAAAATAGCCCGACAAGAAAAAATCAAAATTTGAAATGTTTGAAAACATGCAAGATTTCATTCTAAAATTAAGTTTATTGTGATATTTAATATCTAACAGTTTCCAGTTTTTATATCTGTGATAAACAGATTTCTAGTTTTCATATTTGATGTAAACAGTTTTCTAGTTTTCATATCTGAGATAAACAGATTTCTAGTTTTCATATTTGATGTAAACAGATTTCTAGTTTTCATATCTGATGTAAACAGTTTTCTAGTTTTCATATCTGAGATAAAAAGTTTTCTTGTTTTCATATCTGATGTAAAAAGTTTTCTAGTTTTCATATCTGATATAAACAGTTTTCTAGTTTTCATATCTGATATAAAACAGTTTCTAGTTTTCATATCTAATATAAACAGATAGTTTTCATATCTGATATAAACAGTTACTAGTTTTCATATCTAATGCATCTATCATATTATTTTTTCATTTGTAATTAACCTAACTTCTAGTTTTCCTATATAGGTTCCATTTTTTACTTGTTTTGCAACTAGTTTGTAGTTTTCATATTTGATGCAACCATGTCTGAGAAACTAAATTCTTTGGGTTTATAAGTTAAGCCTCTATTTTCTAGTTTGATGTTTCCGATCGATCCCGCCAAATGTGTCTTTATATTTCCAACCTCTATCTACAGAATAATAATTCAACAAAATCTTCCCTCAGGGTTCTAACTAGGGTTATAAAAGAAGAAGAGTTTATAGAGTGAAAGGAATACGCTTGCAGGGGGTCAGAAAGAGCTGTTAAAAAGGAATTGAACGTGGTAGGAGGCGACTGGAGGAAAAATTACAATATGGGGGGGGGAATAATGAAAAATAAGAGAAATAATGAAAGTTTTCTAAAGGAAAGAAGAGGGAGATATTATAGAAGATTTTCTAGGAAGGAGAAGGAGTTGATAGCAGTTTTTCAGGGGAAACAGAAGAATTTCAGGGTGGAAATAGAAGAGAGGACGTAAAGAAAATATTTAGGAGAAAGAGAAGGAGGAACACGATAGAAGGTAATCAGGGGAAAGAGAAAGAGGGACATGACAAATTGTGTTCAAGGTTCAAAGAAAGAGGGACATGATAGATTGTGTTCAGGGGTCAGAGAAGTAGGGACATGATAGATTGTGTTCAGGGGTCAGAGAAGTAGGGACATGATAGAGAGTATTCATGGGAAAAAGAAGGAGAAGGAGGGACTGTAAAGGGAAAGTAGAAGGCTTTCATGATGTGGGTAATCACTTTTCACTGTTCAGGGGATAAATTTACATTTTCACTAAAAAAGCTTAATTTTCTGAAGTTTCGAGCATTGTTAATTCGAAAATTAAACTTGCAATTTTCAAACTTATTCATATATTTGCAGTTGATGAAGATCACTTTGGGGAAATAGTAAAAAAAAAAAAAAAAAATACGAACTAGGCTATGGGAATAATAAAGCTAACCATTTTGCTTATTCTCGATATAGATAAAATATTTTAAAGAACGGGTTTATTATTATCCTTTATTGTGGTATTTCAGAGAGCTTGTAGTTTTGGGGAAATATTGAATCCAGGGAAAAATAATCTGGGTTAATGGGCAATTAATTCCAAAAAGATAAACTTAATTTATTAGATTGAAAGTTTGTATGGAGGATCAAGGATAAAATACAAAGAATGAAGAATATAAATCAAGAAGGCTGAATATTTAAGAAAAAGATTTTAATGAAAAATAAACGAGAACACGGGGGAAACGGATATATTAATCGTTATTAGTTTATCCACAAAGGACAAGACTTGATGACAACCTAAAAAAAACTTGAAGGTTAAATTTTGTATTCTGTATTGCATATAGTTTTTGAATGAAATATTTAATGAATTAGGCAAGGAAATTAATCTTAGAGCTGCATGGAACTATAAATGTTAGAAAAAGGTCAATTCCGTACAGTCGTCTCTGAAGTTTCATCCCTTGTGGGTAACCCTTTGTATTATATGACTGCACACCAATCTATATGATAAAGCTCTTCGCTCATATATATAAATATATTTGTATGTATATATGTTAATAGCTATAGCTGGCCAAACAGCTGGAACGAAAAGGCTGTGTATCATAGGGGTAACAAAGGCTAAAAATAAAAAAAATCAAGTGTTTTTAAAACTCCACGGGCAACGCACGACACTTCAGCTAGTAATTAAATAACTAGAGATATATTGACCTTGTATTACAGAGCTCTGAGAAGAATGCCTAAAGACTATTTTGATTACAATGTTGAGGAGGAGGTGGAGATTATTCCGGAATCTGAGAAGGAAGCAAAGGAAGGGGTTTCTTCATGATGTTTTCTATTGTCAGATTTAATCATAAAAAATATTTCTGTGATTTTTTTAATATGAAAACTTTATTGGAAAGGACATTGTAATCACTGCTCCAAAAAACTATTTCAAACTATGAATTCTGATCAAATAAGCTAAGTTTGAATTATCAAAAAATTTCACCATCTGGTTGCAAATCAGTTTTTTTAATGTTTAAAAATATTTTTGCTTTTGTTTTTATTCGTTTACCAATATATATTTTTAAACTGTTTTTTGTCTAAAATTACCAGCAAATTTCAAAAAAGTAATAATTCCATAAACGATTCGCAACAACTTGGAAAATAAGATAAACCTCCAATCTCCATCTTGGATTCTCAAATAAAGGTTAAAAACGTTACTTCATCAAGAGTTGCTGAACCTACCTCATAAACAAAAATGATGAAAACATTTTTAAATGTCGATTTTTAATCCTGATTGTAATCCAAGGCTATTTATTTATCTCTGCAAGTGCAACAAATAAAGGATCAAATAATTGAGTTTTTGCAACAATCTCTGCAATCTAATGCCATGAACCTTAGATATTTGAAACTTTGAATTCCATTAGATCTATAAATAAACAGATTTACACCATCAGGTTGCAAAGATGTAGGGATTAGCCAATCTGAACTTGTGGCAAAACCAGAGTTCCTTTAGATTATTTATATTCCAAGCAAACTGTGACTTTCAAAACGAAAACTTTGAAGTCTTTCCTATTTTCATCCGGATCTTAAACCAGATTTTAGAATATTGCTTCCATCTTGAAGAGAACACATCTCTGGAGTGCATTCATTACTTTACCTTTGAACTAAGTTAGCTTTGAACCTTGAGCCCTGGCTCAATATATATATTTATAATTATAAACTAATATTAAACATGAAAGAGATTCTCAACGTTATTTACACTTTTCATAAAAAAGTGCAATATAATTATTTCATATCAAACAGTTAGATTATGGAGGCTAAAAGAATTCATAGTTTGAAATATTTAATGTCTACGACGTTGGGTTGCAAAAACATAGGGATTATAAAATTAGAGTTTGTTGTAAACACTCAATTCCCTTACATCAAAAATTCTTGCTCTTTCAACACACTGAAAACATTTAAAAAAATCAAACCCTTAACAGGTGGTAGAGTTTGTTTACCAAGTTTGCAGAAAAACATGTACACCTGGAGAATATATCTCATGGTTACAGGATGGCAGGTAGGAGAACATGTAAACCTGGAGAATATATCTCATGGTTACAGGATGGCAGGTAGGAGAACATGTAAACCTGGAGAATATATCTCATGGTTACAGGATGGCAGGTAGGAGAACATGTAAACCTGTAAAGTATATCTCATGGTTACAGGATGGCAGGTAGGAGAGCATGTAAACCTGGAGAGTAAATCTCATGGTTACAGGATGGCAGGTAGGAGAACATGTAAACCTGTAGAATATATCTCATGGTTATAGGATGGCAGGTAGGAGAACATGTAAACCTGGAGAATATATTTCATGGTTACAGGATGGCAGGTAGGAGAACATGTAAACCTGGAGAGTATATCTCATGGTTACAGGATGGCAGGTAGGAGAACATGTAAACCTGGAGAGTTTATCTCATGATTACAGGATGGCAGGTAGATGAAAATGTAAACCTGGAGAGTATATCTCATGGTTACAGGATGGCAGGTAGGAGAACATGTAAACCTGGAGAGTATATCTCATGGTTACAGGATGGTAGGTAGGAGAACATGTAAACCTGTAGAAAATATTTCATAGTTACAGGATGGCAGGTAGGAGAACATGTAAACCCAGAGAATATATCTCATGGTTATAGGACGGAAGGTATGAGAACATGGAAACCTGGGCAGCATATATCATGTTTACAGAATTATAGGGTCCGTCTCTACAGTATTTGACCTAGTACAAAGCTAGGTACGTAGTATACACTACATTGAATCGGGTAATATTTTTGACAAATTGTAGATTTAAAAACTATTTCAACTAAAGATTAAGTAGAAATTCTTCTCTCTATTGCTGGATTATCGACATTGCAATCTGCAGGATAATCGAGGAAGTAATCTTCAAGAGCTGTCCTACTCCTCTCGGAAAGAAGCAAAGATCCTGTCCTGAGGATCAGATGAAACCCCGGGAGAGAGTTGAGAAGATTATCAATGATCTCTTTGAGTTTGGAGTTCCTGTCGAACTCCTGTTCGATGTAGATGATCTGCTTAAATCTAACAACATTCCGAAGGTAGTGTAGGATGCATTTATCTGTCCAATACTGCAAATTCAACAAATTCGACAGCTTTTAAACAAACTTTTTTTTTGGCATCGCGTCAACTTTGATTGGATATACATTCAGATACAGTTCTTAATTGAATTTTATGGCTCAAATTGGAAACAGGAACTCGCCCCCCCTTCTCACATGAATCCCCTGAAGTCGCATTTATGTTGGTTTATCTATCTATGGCAAGGGTCAATTTCAATGAGAATAGCGTCGTTTTTTATTTTATTTTTTCATGCAAGACTTTTGAAAAAAATACACCCAAAAGCGTGATAATCGAGATGACACAAAAGAATTCTAACAATTTTTCTAAACATTTTTAACCTGTTTCAGGTTACAGCTTGTCTCTTGGAGGTAAAGATGATGGTGTATACAGGACAAGGCAGGAGCAAGCTTAAGTCTGTCCAGGACGTAGTTAAGGCTCCGTTCCGTTGCTCCGTCTGCAAAGAAAAGTTCTCCAGGAGTGATCAGCTCCGTCACCATCTCTGTGAAAACCATCCGGATAAAATTGGGTTTAATCTTAGAGCTCTTCTACAAAAAATGACGACATAAATTAACTTTTAGAGAATATCTTCGAAAAACAACGAGGATTTCATTTAAATATTTCTTGAAATGAAATTTTGGATTTGTACACTACAAGTTAGGCTGGGGAAACAACATTTTTGCTTGTGTTGTATTTGCTAGCGTCATAGAGGTCATTTTTGTAACATGTCTTTTTTATGTGAAAAATTTCCAAGTCTGTCCTATCCACAGAGCCTGTACTAGTCTAGTCTAGTTCTGTAGCCTGCTGATCCTCAGTAAGCACTACCTAACTGCAGAGCCTGTACTAGTCTAGTCTAGTTCTGTAGCCTGCTGATCCTCAGTAAGCACTACCTAACTGCAGAGCCTGTACTAGTCTAGTCTAGTTCTGTAGCCTGCTGATCCTCAGTGAGCATTACCTAACCCTTAATAATGTAATGGGAATGTTTTTTCATATAGAAAAAAATTCGGTTTTCTATTTGTATATAGCAAAAATAATAATAGCAAAAATGTCGTACTCATAGCGCCAGTAGAACTATGAAACCTGGAGAACTACCTAGTTAGTGGATTAAATATATGCTGACACACCATAAACATTCAGCTCAACTTTCCTCATTCGTTTCATTAATATTACTTTGAAAATACATTCATTAAGATTAACAAATCCTCCCCCCCCTCCCCTTTACCTCCCCATGTTTACAGGGTCGACCAAAAAGAATGAGACTTCAGAGACAATTACAGATTTTCTCAAATTTATGGTTACCTGCAGTTTTATACATGTTTCTTTTTTTCCCTAAATAATGTAAAATGCATGAGTTTATCAACTACAGCTGACCTAATCAATACATCATCTCGTTTTTCACCTTAGGTGGGTAACCCTGTTATAGTTCTGCATACAAATTCTTAACCCCTGAATTATATTCTTAAATCTTGAATAAGAAAATGTTTTAAATCCTTTTCCTATATTCAATCTGCAACTCTTTTTCAAGTTGTGCAGAAAAAACATTTTCAATAGATTATTTCAATTTTAAAATCAATCTAGATATCTATACATTTTATCAAAAGGAAACATTTAATGTATAAAAATACAAATATGCCATAAATCCTGGTAACTAGTTATGTACACTGTGCAGTTGTATTTTATCACTAACTGGTATCAAGGGGACTGTAAGTGTAATTTCAATTGATTTTTCATGCAAATGCCCGATTTACAACGGTACCCTTAAAACCGGTATATGTTCATCGATTATCAAGATCTTTGTGTGTAAACTAAACGAAAACTGTTTCTATATTTTAAAAATTCCGATGTGCTTTGCCCCGTGAAAAATGTCGTCTTTTTAACGTTAAACGCGTTTTGCAAACATTCGAAAGTAAATATTTATTTTCTGTCACATCTAGAAAGTAACTGTTGATTTCCTTAATATATGACAGCTTGCAAACAAAGTGCTTAACAATTAAAAGGTTTCAGTAGATAATTAGGGACATGTCAGACATCCTTTATCAGTCAAAGGTTTAAAGGGCAGCTGTTCTGAATCGGAGGAAACTCTTCCTTAAATGGAAAGTCACTTGCAATTACGTTTACAGTCCCTTTTATAATATTGTTCACGAATAATGAAGCATGCATATGATATGTTGATCCCTAATCACATCATCAATAGATATTATATCATCATTTTATTTTTTTTCTGTGAATAGAAATTGATTTGAAACTGTTTTCTTAGGACCAATGAAATCTCATTTGTCTTAAATTGAGTTTAATTTAAATTAAATAATTCATTAATTCAATTAAACACATTTAGTTATTTCCGGGCTGAGATTTCTTGATAAAAAAAAACAATTTTAAAGATTTTGAGTTAGATTATCCCAATATGATTTATTGTATTGTTATATAAAATAGTAAATTCTATAAAAAATTCTTATTGTATAATATAGATAAATGCTAATCTCTAAATTTGATGTGATTAAGCGAGAATATGACTTGTATTATTGATTAATAAACCAGGATTATATCATTTCTACATTAGACCTGCCTTATCAGCATACACTTGCTGAATAGAAAGGTTGGAGAGGGGGGGGGGAGAAAATATTGAGAAACTAATCTAAAATAACTCATCGAGCTGATCTACACCATCCCCTGCCCGACCCCGTTACGGGATATTTTCACATTTTTAACATTAGACATTTTTTAGGTAAAAAATTGCATTCTCTACAATTTTTCCATAATTGATAAAGATATTTTTCCTTTTTCCCTGAAGGATCTGACGAATAATGACTGAAATAAAAAAATAAAAAATTCTATGTCGACCTGCTTCTTGTTTATTATGGTCTATCAGTTCTATCGCTACAATCAGATCTTTAGCGACCAACCTGTGTCTTGCTTTTAATCTGAAGAACTTAGTTTCTAAATTTGTCAAGAAAGGAAGTGAGCTTTTGCCACAAACTTTGATTTCATATCCCTATATCCTTGCAACCCGATGTTGTTGAACTTTAATATTTCTAATTTTGAATTCTGTTAGATCAAATAGTTAAAGTTTGAAATATCAAAGGTTTACATCGCCAGGTTGCAAAGATATAGGGATTAGAAAAGCTGAGTTTGTGGCAAAAACTCAATTCCTTTACTAAATAATTATTTAAATTGCTTATTTTTTTTAATTGAAATGAATGTTGGTGTAAGTAATAAAAAATCGATTTTTATCAAAAAATTCCGAGTGTTTACATGTTAGGTTCGAACAGGTTTACATGACAACGGCCCGGATTATAAGGAGAGAAGAGATTACTCCGGGTTCTCTGGCTAACAGTTACATCCCAACCCTGATAGATGGATTATACACACAGTTTTAACTTTATCTTTCCGGCTTGAGCGGAGAGGGCAAGGTTGTTTGTTTTCCAGGTTTATACAAATAGAATACGTTTTTCGAGTTGCAAGGTTCAAGATAGTTAGATCTAGTTCATGTTCCGACATCGCGGCCAGATATATCCCACCAGTTCCCCTATTTTCCTCGGATCTTCAGATTCAGAGAAGGAGACCTCGGAGCGGCCTTATCCAAACAATGGTCCCAGTGCGTGGGAAAATGCTGAAGAGAGAAGAGACGGGTGTGTCGGTATGTTTCCTCCAGATGATAGGATTCAACGAACTCACAGTTTTTTCTCCTCTCACGAAGACCAACCAAAGTCAATCTATCTCAAAAAAGAGAATACTGCGGAGGAGATTTACTTGTCGGAGAATCAGCATGAGATCAGTCCTACGGATTCATCTAGCAAGAGAAAGATAACATGGAATGTTAGCGCACCTTCCAACACTCCCAATCCCAATAGTTTAGTTCCAAGGGGAAGAAACCAAAGCCAATTATCAAATCTCTCTCTTTCTCTCTCCCCGCTTCCTTTTCAATCGTCGATTGCCCCCTGCAACTCACCGATGGAACCTCCTCGATCATTTTCATCCTCCTTTTCAGGTGAAACTAGAGGAAGAAAAAAATATATATTTAGAATAATTCTAGATTTTTTGAGCAAAAAAAGTTACAAACGATGATTTTCTAATCCATACATTTGAGCAACTCTATGTTGTAGACCTTAGATATTTCAAACTATTAATTCGGTAAGATGAAATAATCTATGTTTGAAATGTTAAAGGTTTCCAGGTTGCAAAGATATAATGGTTTGAATATTTGATTTTTTGACAAAGACTCAATTCCTTTCAGAAGATGAAATAGCACAATTTATAAGATGTTAAGAGTTCCATTGTTGATAACTTTATTTGCAACCTGTTTTTTTATCTAGAATATTGATATTTACTCTGCAGAAATAACAGAAGTGAGAGAAAAAATGAATATTTTCATTTAAATTGTTGCAAACCGCTTTGGACAGGGAACATTCGGGATTTTCGAGAAAAAGAAAAGTCAGCGGCGTTAAGTTTACACTCCACGCTAGCGTACACCATTACGTCAATTTGAACAGCGTTCAGAGATAAACACATAAAATTCTCTGTCGTCGATGGTCAGTAAAAGGTTTAATGGGTATAAATTTGAATCGGGCATTCCACTTCTGCATTGAGGGTCACTTGAAATTACGCTTAAAGTACCATTCAGTTGTGTTTTGATGTTAAAGGGATAGTCCAGATTTTAGTAACTGCATATTTTCTCTGTTACTTTCATTTGAAGAATAGCCATTTGGCAAATCAAAAATATCCTGGTGGAAAAACCCAGATTTTTTTTTGTAAATGAATGTTTTTTCTTTTCTGCGGCAATGCTCTTATAGACTTTTAAAGGGACTGTAAAGGAAAAATTGATAGGGGGTATAGGCTGAAAGCTAATCACTTTAGCTCTTGATCACGACCCATGAAAGTTTTATCTGATGTTCCTGTCTTGAGAAATTGATTTAAAATTATACGAAAGTTCATACATGTAAAATCTTAAACTTAAATCACGTGACCAGAACTATCACCAATGGCAGAGCAGTATACTGATCACGTGTCTCCGCCTGTATCACGTGACCACTTTACTGCACTGCCATTGGTGGAACTTCTGGTCAAGTAATACGGAAGTATAAATAATATTATGAATTAAATCTATTAAAAATAGAAATAACAAATATAAAATTAGAATTGGAGTAAATCTAAGTTACAATTAGCTTTCTCTGGGATATCATAGTTTTCTGATTGGTTGCTTATTTACTGAATTTGATCTATTTAAACTCTCTACTTTTATACAAAATTGTATATATATTAATTTTCGTATAAATTTGTCACAGTTTTATATCAATTTCTCGAGATAGGAACATCAGATATAACTTTCATGGGTCGCGATCGAGATCTAAAGTGATTAGCTTTCAGCCTATACCCCCCTTTCATTTTCTTTAGTCCCTTTAAGCTGACATTTCAGTTTTATACACAACCAAGTTCTATACACGTACTTTCAAATATTTAAACAAGCCCTTTAATTATACGAAATATTAACAGAATTTGAACTTACATCCAACTACATAATTAAAAAAGAAGGAGAAAAAAACCTTTTCAATTACGGATTATAGGATAAGGATTTTTTTCATTATGATGCTTGTCAAATAGTACAAAGATAAGTTATTTTTTAAAGGAACAAATATTCTGTTTCAAATGTCTTATTTTTCCACCAACAGAAAAACGTTTACTATAACTTTAGCTGAATACGAAAGGATTTACATTAGATTTTACAGTTTACTTTTTTAATACAAAATTACGTTCTGGATTTTAAATGTGAAAAATTCAAATGAGAAAATCAAGAAAAAAACTATAAACAAAAAAATTTATTGCAAAAACTTGAGTTCCAAAACAAAATCGTATTTTTTATATTAGGACCTGAACATCCTCTTTCTCCAGTGGTGTTTAAACAAAACCCTCAGATACCCTTTAGACCTACAACAACAATAAGAGTAGATTCCACGGAGACAGGATCCAGGATCGAATCTAGCACTGAGGGTCGGTTCTCCTCAGAAAGTAGCAGAAAATCCTCAATAAGGTCGTCATCCACCTGTATACCAATGCTCAGGTAAAAATCTGCACAATATTGACTTGAATTTACTAAATGCAAAGCTTCCAAATCTTGAAAAAAGCTCATTTCAGTGTGCCTACATTTGAATCTAAAGATGGTCTTCTTAGTCCGGTTCAATTAGTCCTGTCTCCACACAACCGGAACTTCTCTGGTTCAGCTCTATCTCTGCGCTCCTCCTACTCAACCCAATCAATCATGAGCGAAGCCTCGACTATCTTTGGCCCGGAGAAAGAGCAGGTTCTCACAGAACGAATGAGACTCATCGTTGATTCCTTCCAAAGCCGTGCTCGGCGAGTAAAACAAAGATTAGAACAGCCTCCTACCCCTACAGACGATGGATCAGAGAACGAAGACGTCCTAGTTGGACCAAGACGTCTTCTTGATGATTTCGCGGATATTAAAGACTCCGAAAATCCAATAATGATGGGAACTGGAGATAAGTGGAGAGATTTACTGAGAAGGATTGAGTTTATAGATCCTAGGGGGCACATTAACATAGGAAATCAAAAATCAATTAAAATCCAAATGGTTCCTTTTAAATCATTTCATTTCTAATACGTCGTATCGTAAAAAAATCAATTTAATTCCAAAAATCATTTCGATATAAAAACCTATAGTCATCGATTATTCGTTTTGTATATAAAACAAATAAGAAATATAATGAAACAATAACTGTATACGAATGCGCCGAAAAAAAACATTGACTTTAGGTTGTAATAATATCTGAATGATTTGTTTGAAATTAAATTGATTATTTTACGATACGAGTCGTATATTGCAATTTTCTGAATTTGTATGGACGCTATACGTTTTTCAGTAATATCAGTTTTTAACAATTTTCTCCTCATAGACGCAACGGATAGAAGTAAGATTAGTACCGATCAAAAGCGATTATTTTTCGCCGTAAGCCTATACGCCCTTTTATTTTTCGCGAACACTCCCTTTAAGGGCCTGCCTCAGTCTACAAAGCTTTTGATTGGGCCCATGTGTGTGTTTAAAACAGGGTTTGAACAAAAGAAATCTTTTTCATTTTTTGGGAAAGGTTAGTAAGATAAAAGTTTGTCTCTTCATGGGTTTGTGTAGAAAAAAAGAAACGATCTAGATCTTTATAGAAATCAGCTGTATTTTAGAAAGATTTTGGTTTTTATTCTTGAGTCATGCGAAAACTATAAGTCAAAAAGCTCATATACCAGTCAAAATTACACTTTGCATGGTTAACAAAAGATCGTATCTATTTTAGACAATGGCAAACAAATGTAGTTAAAAATCTCAACTAAGTTTTTTGGCATAATTATATAGATATTCTTAAATATTGTTGTGATATATTTTTGAAAAAAATATTTTGGGGGAAAGGGTGCAAGGAAATATATAAAGTCAATATAAATATATACTCATATATATTTTGAATTAATTTTCTTAATAGTTTTCTGAGTGTTGACTGTTGAAGGATTGATGAAACTTTTAATTGTTTCCTTGCTTCAAGTCAAAGGGGGCTGGGGTTTGGGGGCATAATCTGGTAACACAAGGGTTGCGGTTTTGCTTAATATCATAACAAAAGTTGTCTTCTAATTTCTTAAATATTATTTGCCACAAATTATTTATTGACTTATTGATTGATTTTACCTATGCAATATTTATCAAATACGATTTTCAATTGTTAATTTCTTGATTTTTTCTGTTTTAAAATCTATCTAATTTATTTGGTTCAATCAAATTCTGATTTTAATGTATTTTTAAGTAAAGATAAATATTTATCTGTTTATTTAATTTGTATTAATTTAGTAAGTAATCTAGATAATGAAACTATTTTATCGATTAAAATTTACAATTTACAATAAATAGCTAAGATGTGAGCAGTGTTTAATGCATACAATTATAGGTCATTCCTTAGGTTTATACATATTGGTAAACTGCTTGGCTGCATAAAAAATAAAAGACAAATTAGAAATATCACAAACTAGGTTTTTATCATTTAATTCGTGTTCACAAAATCACAAGATTTGTACCGTCATAAAAACAATTTATTGCTTATTAGTTTCAGATACAGAAAATTCTTTTCCGATAAAACAATCTTCGTGAAAAGTTTTCTACTAGAAAATTTGGTTCTTTTGAACATTCGTAATCTGCTAAAAGTCTCCTCGCAATTTGTTCAAAGGAAACTTTGTTACTGTTTACTTTTTACTTTTTAAAGAGACTCTGTTCCCGTAATTTCAAGGGACTCTCCATTCATAGAGGGGCATGTCCGATTATTATTGAAAGGGACAGACTGGCTGCATACTCAGTATAACTACCTTACATAGGCGGTCTGTCCCTTTAAAGCTTATTTTGGTTGAATTCGTAAAATAGCAATAATTTTCAGTTGGGATTTCTCTATCATATTAGAATTTCTTTTAAGAATCAATGGGAAAATTATTAGAATTAAATACTTTTCAACTCAGAAAAAGTTTCTTTTTAAGGTCACCAGTGATTACAATGACAGTAACTTTTAAATGCAAGATTTGTTTGCTTAATAAAAAATAAAATATACAAAAAACCCATATTCCACGGAAGACCAGGGTCCAGGTGTTTCATGTGCTTCCGATGCTTTGGTTCTGAAATTACAAGGATATTTTTATATTAATATTTCTGTTTGGTTGATTGATTGATTGATTAGCCTGGCTAGCTGTGATGACAATTTGCTTTGTGTACAACGCTTGGTGTATACCATTCAGGTCAGTTAATACTTCTATGCATCTGAATTTTAAATATATTAAATATCATATATAGACTAAAATCCCCTCCCCTTCTTATTTCCGTATTTTAAAGCGAGCTTCATTAAGACATTTTCTATAAAATCTGTACATAAGGGCATTGGCGTTTTTATGTTACCTTGATTAAAAATAATGACTAAACTAAACAAAAAACCATTTTTGAAGTAGAATCATTTTTAGTTTTTCTCAAAATGTGATATGGAATCAGACCCCTGAAAGATTTGGATTAAACTTGTTTTTCGTTTTTCAGAAACAATTTTTTTTTATTAATTTATGTATTAAAAACATCTTTATCCCTGAGTAAGAGCAGAGTCTGAAAAAATGGCAAATCATTTTATCCATGATGATGACCATCATTTTTATTTTATATTTTTCAATGATTTTCTACAGTTAACTCAAACCTTTCAACTAGAAACGTAAAACAATGTTTCAGAAATTATTCCATCATGCATATTTAATATTTAATTTCAATTCTGAATTAAAACCGCACTTTTATATAATTTTTTAGTAAAAAATGTAAGCACTCCCCTGGACAAAATCCTGACTACGCCCCTGCGTGATACCCACATAAATCTTGTACAAACTAAAGAACAATACATACGATTGTAAACTGTTGTTCTAACCAAAAAGTGTGATTGAGCCAATCTCTCCGGTTTCTAACAACTCCTATAAGATCTAGAATACGTGATAATCCAACTCTATTTATCTATATAATAAAACAAGACATTAGTATATATATATATATATATATATGTTGCGTATAGCCGGCCAAACGGCTGGACTGACTGGGCTAAATTTTTTTGTGGACACTCATGGGTGGCCGGGGGGTGTCATAGCCTAAAAAAAATCGAATTTTTTTTTCAATTTTTTTAAAAAATATTTTTTTTTCTCAATTTTTTTTCCACGGGCAACACCGGGCCCTTCACTTCTTATATTTTTCACTTCTAGTTGTAAATAAATCAGATTTTTTCCACGTATCAAGGTTTATCAGAGAAAGCGTAATGGCACTAATTTCTTTTAATATTTGAAAGTACAGTTCAAGTAACAAGAATAGAATAGAAAACTCCAAACTCTTATGATGGCCTTAAGTGAAAATAATTTCGAAAATGAAGAATTACTAAGTTACACGGAATAACGGAAGACATATGAATCTCAGTAACAGAACTCTTCAATTTTCAACCTTTTGACTGAGCACTTTAGCATTTTATTATATGTTATCGCAGTAATTTATAATATTTACAACTACTTATTAGGAAAGATATTTCTAGAAAAATAGTTTACACAATTTTATCGTCTTTTGAGATGAAAATGCGCGAATTTTTTCACCAAAACTTGGCAGAGCGGGTCGTTATTTTACTTAATTGTCCTAAGGGACGTAAACAAGTAACATGACGTCCCTCTGATGAGACTGACGAGGAAATCATAGGTCGGTAATGTTGGTAAAAAGGCGGTAAAAATTGTAGTAATTCGATCACGATTAAAAAGGATCAAAAATTGCATCTCAGATATATGAAAATTACGTGAGTTTTAGGGAAGCTATCTCTATATTGTAAATAGAAAATAGAAATGGAATAAAGTAACTCTATTGATGTCAACTGCACCAGTGTTTAATCTTCTTGCAGGACTTCTTTAATCTATCTCTAGGATCTATAGAGATAGATCTCTGAAAAGAAAAACATGGCGGCATCAATTACTTCTACTAAATGCCGCAAAACAGCGTTTAGACTTGCGAAAGGTGTTTGACTTATTTTTAAAACGTTATTGATTTTCGGTAAAGTGAAAGGGAAATAAATAATGTACATAATAATATTTGCAACTACTTTACAGGGAAATTTAGGAAATTTTATTTTACCAAGGGTTCATGCAAACCAGTTGTAGTCGAGGGGCCTCGTGGTACAGAATATGGTCATCCGTGTTGTGACGAGGATCGGGTCAGTACACGCTGTTATCTGGCAGGCCGTTACAAACTGGGCAGGTCCTGTTCGAATTCAAATTTACTACGGCCCAGAGTGTAGTGCCCATTGGTACCTTTTAACATGAAAACGATAGCGTTAACTTTTACAAAATCAAATCAATATTACTAACGTCACTATTTAAAGAAGGAGCGAACGAGAATTATTCCTTTGAGAAACAAAAAAATCTCCGTCATCGATACGTTCTTTTAATAGAACCATATAGTGAATCAATGATGGCACTATTCATTAGATAGTTACATTCAAAATCTTTTTAATATGGCGCATTTGCTTAATGTATTTAATCCTTTAAACTACAATGAAATTTTATGAATTACCCTCAGCTATAAACAGGGAATCAAAAATGTATTTAGTTTTAATAATATAATTTAACGATAGAGATTATGAAGAATTAATATATAAAGAAACTGACTTGTCACAAATTCCTTTCTTTAATAATTTTATCTATGAAACCTGTTGTCGTACAGGTTGACCTTTGATATTACAAGCTATGATTTTACAAACTATGATCATCCAAAGCTGCTGGAAGGGACAGTCAACAGAAGGAGAAAAGGAAAATAAGATGACAAGAAGAAGTATAATAGAATATTTCTGTATAATCAAAAAGTTCATAATAATTTTAAAAAAATATAATCAATTAGTTAAAGTTTTAGACATCATTTCACCATCTGGGGGAAAATATAAGGATTAGAAAATTGGATTTGGAGGAGACACAAAGCTCCAATCGTTGCATAATCCGAACCGGAGATTTAATGGTCTTGAAGTTGTACTGCACGTATATGGAGTCACGTGTACCTACCAGTCTAGTCTAAAGTATAAAGTCGACCCAGCACGTTTTTTACAACAAATATAGGCTGGCCAGATCTATCTGGAGAGTTCCTTAGTTATAGAAGAGTTCGGGTCAGGGTAGAAGAGAAGTTTTGTATTGTGTATGTTATGTTGGTGACAATGAGAAACTATTTTTAATTTCGTTATTTTCTTGTCAATTCTTCATCCCTTCCCACTAATCCTTCGGCTGTTCTTTCAACCTTCACGAAATCTTTTATTTTTAACTCTTCTCCCTCCCTCCCTCCCTCCCTCCCTCCCTTACTTCTTGTAATTTTACCCGTTTCCAAATTATTTTTTGTTTGTTTAGGTTTTTCTTCCCTCAGTATCAAAACTCGGAGAACCAGATATCCTGGTTTATTGCTGACTATACTTGTGATTTCTTGTGCCTTCTTGATATACTAGTATTTAAATACAGGAGAGAATATCTTTAATAACATTTTAGGAAATTGACACTTTTTTACAAACGTGATTATATGAAACTTATTTGCTTGTGGACACTCCTATTAAAAAATAAAATGTAAAACAGGTTGAAATCCTTAGCTAACATTTTATATGCACTTTGCTTGTCTGTCTGTTTGTTTGTTTAATACACTTTGCTTGTCTGTCTGTTTGTTTGTTTAATATACATTTTGCTTGTCTGTCTGTTTGTTTGTTTTATATACTTCGCTTGGGTGTCTGTTTGTTTGTTTTATATACACTTTGCTTGTCTGTCTGTTTTTTGTTTTATAAACACTTTTCTTGGGTGCCTGTTTGTTTGTTTTATATACACTTTGCTTGTCTTTCTGTTTGTTTGTTTTATATACACTTTTTTGTCTGTCTGTTTGTTTGTTTTATATAAACTTCGCTTGTCTGTCTGTTTGTCTGTATCCAATAAACGTGAAAACTGTCAACAGCTTAATTTATCACAAGAAAAGGGGGTGGCGAAAAATGCCTAGTTAGATAAACAAGATATTAACTCTAATTGATACAGACTAATGTTTATGGAGAGTGGATTCTGGGTCAAGGATAAACGACGGCTAATTAGGAACTAGAAATATTATAAAAAACCGAAACTTTTTCATTAGTTTTTGTTTTGGTTTCCGGACCGGATGTTCGATGAAATGATGTTTAATAAAAGAATGATAAAATGTTTGTTAATATATTTAAGGAAAGGATATTTAGTAAAAGAATGTCAATTAAATGATGTTTAATGAAAGGATGTTCCATGAGAAGATGTTTGTTAATATATTTAAGGAAAGGATATTTAGTTAAAGGATGTTTAATGAAAGGATGTTTTATGAAAGGATATTTAGTTAAAGGATGTTTTATGAAAGGATATTTAGTTAAAGGATGTTTAATGAAAGAATGTTTAATGAAAGGATGTTTAATAAAAGTATGTTTAATAAAGGATGTTTAATGAAAGGATGTTTAATGAAAGGATGTTTAATGAAAGGATGTTTAATGAAAGGATGTTTAATGAAAGTATGTTTAATGAAGTTGTATAATATTGGTGTGAGTATACAGACACTATCTGAAGGAGGGATCCTTTATACTTGATCTCCTATCCCTGCTACCCCTGGAGATAATGTATATATGGTTCGGAACCCGAGCAACCCTTCTCAGAATAAACAGACTTCTTAAGTTCGGAGACTTTTTAGAATTCTTTAAACGTTTAGGTAAAATTTTTACAATTGAAACCTAAATAAAAGATTAATCTTTACCCCAGAATTAAATTTTGTGTCTAGATGCTACAACAAGTCGTCTCCAGTATGCTCTACGGTTACTCAAGACAGTGATTTATATGCTCTATCTTATTCATCTTAATGCTTGTGCATACTTCGCTATATCTGCCTATCAAGTTTGTATTTTATATTATTTTCTTGTTCTTGATTTCTTTTCGACTCCGTTTTATGTACTTAATCATTGAAAATAACGAATTAAATAAGTTTGAAATATCAAAGGTTCAAGAATTAGGTTGCAAAGATAAAGATCAGTAAATTATAGTCCAAATTCATTTTCTTAATTTATGACTGTTCATAAACCCTTTCTAAAGGGGTATAGCTAGTATAGCTATTATATCTAGTATAGCTAGTATAACTAGTATAGCTAGTATGGCTAGTATAGCTAGAATAGCTTGTATATCTAGTATAGCTATTATAGCTAGTATAGCTAGTATAGCTAGTACAGCTAGTACAGCTAGTACAGCTAGTATAGCTAGTATAGCAAGTATAGCTAGCATAGCTAGTACAGCTAGTATAACTAATATAACTAGTATAGCTTGTATATCTAGTATAGCTAGTATAGCTAGTATAGCTAGTATAGCTAGTACAGCTAGTAGAAATCTGAAGAAAAAAATTGAATTTTTATCAGATACATACATAGTTTAAAAATTTCTTCTTTTAAAGATTTAAAATCATAAGCTTTGTTTAAAATCTGCATAAATAATAAAATAATTCATTTCAGGGGTTAGGATCAAACTCCTTTGTTTTTGATGGAGAAGGATCGTCTTATATCCGGTGTTTCTACTTTGCAACCAAAACAGCAACTTCAATTGGTGAGTAATTTAAAGAATTTTGAGAAGCTCAATTTTTCAATTCTTTTATCTGAGAGTGGAATGACTGGTTCTGATTGAATAATGAAAGAGAATTAGATTATTATTTTGACCCACTTTGCAGAGATGGCAATGCCCGATTCACAACAGTACAATAGAAATCTTTATTTGATCAATAAAGGTTCAATTCTTTTATTTCTTTTTGTTTTCATGAAGTAGAAATGCTGAAGTCACTTTTGTAGAGAAACCACAATTGAAAATATTAAGGTTTCAAAATTATAAACATTCATATCTAATTCATATTTGATCAGACAAAGGGTACTATTGTGAATCTATCTTTACCATCTTCTATGCATGTAGGGTCCCTTTGAGAGGAAGATATCTGTATTTAAGCAATCATGTTTCTGAAAATATCACTGAATCTTGATATATTTTTACTTTGAGGCTTTTAGAAAAATAAATATCACCATAACATGGGCTGGAAATATCATAACTTAGGAATGGATTTCAAAATGAAATTTGCCTTCGTAAAATATCAGAGTTTTTTAAAAAAGATATTTGCGTTGATCAAACTTTTTTTCTGTTTTAAAGATCACAAATTATTGAATATATTTTTTAGTCTCCTAGACTAGAGCTAATAGCAGCGTTGCACCTTAAAAATTTGTCTGTATATTCCGAAATCTTTTAAATCGAGATTTTTTGGAGGCAAAATTCTCCATTTGAGCGGCCAAATACCACAAAAATACAAACAAACAAACAATAATATATAGATAAACGTCAAAGCGCAGGTGGAAACGATTTGGCCCAAATTCGTTGAAGGACCTCTCATGACAACAGGAAAAGTTTATGGTCAAACGAAAGTTTGAAAAGTTTTTTTAAATTTAAATTCGGAAATCAACGAATAAAAAATGGGACACCCACGCCCCCATAAAAATTTTTTGGATTGCAAAAAAATGGTGGCATGGAGATAGCATTACTTCTTTAAAATAAAATAATAAAATTGCTTTATAGTTGTAAAATGTGTAAATTGTTATTTCCTGAAGTGAAATCTAAGGCTCCAAGGCGTTGCGCGACACTTTAAAGTCGACCCAGTCTTGAAAATTGATGCAGTTTTACCTAGCAGTCTGGATCTATGTGTTGTTGAAACTTGAAACCAGGGTATAAAGGAGAGTGGTTTAGTGGAAATTTTATCCAAATCCAACACACTGCAATTACACATAATTACGTTTGCTAAAAAAAGTTCAATTGAAAAATTACATTAGCTGAGCTTTGTATTAACTAATTGACAAAATGGGTATTTTCCAGGAGAGTTATATTAACCTACTAAAAAAATTTTTATTTCCGATTCGTTCTTTTCTTTTCTTCACTTAAATTACAATTATTATAATATTTTTGGAATGTTTTTGAAAAAAAACTTTTCTAATTCCCTGAAACTGCAGTCCAATGTCAGATATAATATTTATAGATAACGAATAAATAACTAGACTAGATAAGGAAGAGTTATGTAGTGATTAACACTCCATAGATTCCCAATCCCCCCCCCCCCCCACGGTGTATTCATGTCTAGGTAAATATTGTAGAATGTAGATCTAGACCAACAAGGTTATAGTTTATACATTATCTTTAAAGGAACAATTACAGGTTTTGTTACGGGATGGACAAATGCAAAATTTAGATTTTGTGATTGTAGTCCATTAGTTTAAGAGATTTTTAAAAATATAATTTCTTCATTTTTCTAAAATATTTGATTTTTCCCCTGTAATATTCCTTCTAACTAATCGTAGACAGAAATTTGAAAAGAAAAAAAGATCTAAGTAATTTTAACTCTCTTCTTATCCCTCCCAGGCACCCTTTCCTGATGAAAATCCATTAAAAATAGAAAATCGTCCTGAACTGAGAACTTCAGAATTGGATAACCTTAATCCTGATCACTTAATCTGATTACCGTTTGTGGAAACTTTTAATCTTGTTTTTAATCCACTCTTTTTCCTACTGCATGTAATAAAGATACGTTAGATTACAAATACAGATGCTATATCCAAAGAAAATAGAATATATATTAGATTGGAATTTACTAGAAAAAAGGGTAAAACGGCCATTTTGTTGTACTGTTTTCATACTACAGGTGTTCTTCACATATTTGCGCTATATAACCTTTTGGGCCCTGGAACATCATTTTATAGAAAATCTAAAATTAATATTAAAAGAAAACCAAATTATGAAATAGGCTGGTTTCATAATTGACCAATGATCATTTCACATAGACTCTATGCCTTTCACTTCACAAACGATAATTCTGTTATAACTATAAATCAAATGATGTTTTTATTCACCTAATTCATTATAAAGTTTATTTAATAGATTTAAAAAATTCGAAATTCAAATGAATAGTCTAGGGAACATACTGTATTAATGTACTCTACTGCATATAATTTGTGAACATTTGCATGATTTTTACACTTTGAACTTCCTTTCAGACTGAAAGGGACTGACAAAATTCATACCGAAGGATTGTCTAAATTCCACTCTAATATATATTCTATTCTCTTTGGCTATATCGATTTGACTAATATCCGATTGAACTAAAGTCAGCTGTTCACAAGCATACTTTTAGAGCATTTAAACAAATATAAATTTAACCACGTTAATAATTGAAAATCATATTTTATCATATTTGAGGACTTTTGAACGTTAGTCTTAATCAACATTAATCCAAAACTTATTTTCGTTCAATTGATCATTAGTCCAATTGATATGACATCACAAATACGGGAAAATTAAAAGGTTTTTCAAAAGTTAAAGAGTGCATCTCTAATCTCTAGATATTAGACTAAAGATAGAGACTAAATTAGACTTGAGATCAGCAAAAAGAGAGGATCAATCATTGATCTCGATATCCACCATTCTAAAATTTTCAGATTATCTACTTTTTTTAGTAAATTTTTATCTATCTTTTAAAGAAATGAAAAAAGACACTTTTTCAAAAACACCCTTTAGGGAAATCAATCTAAAATAAGAAATGTTGTGTGAAAAATAATTTTACAAAATGAATTTTACAAAAGAAAAAACATGTAATAATTCAAAAAAAATTTTCAGACTTGTTCCTGAATTCGAAATTAAAGTCAAAATTCAGAAATGAAAAAAACCGTTGCAAGTTTCATGTCCAATAATGTCCATGTTTATTTTCTTCCTTTCCTTCTTAGATCTAGAGTTCAGTTTCTTCCTTTACTTCTTAGATCGAGAGTTTAGTTTCTTCCTTTACTTCTTAAATCGAGAGTTTAGTTTCTTCCATTCCTTCTTAAATCGAGAGTTTAGTTTCTTCCATTCCTTCTTAGATTGAGAGTTTAGTTTCTTCCTTTCCTTCTTAGATCGAGAGTTCAGTTTCTACTTTTCATTCTTAGATCTAGAGTTCAGTTTCTTCCTTTCCTTCTTTGTTCTAGAGTTCAGTTTCATCCTTTCCTTCGTATATCTAGAGTTTAGTTTCTTCCTTTCCTTCTTAGATCGAGAGTTTAGTTTCTTCCTTTCCTTCTTAGATCGAGAGTTTAGTTTCTTCCTTTCCTTCTTAGATCAAGAGTTTAGTTTCTTCCTTTCCTTCTTAGATCTAGAGTTCAGTTTCTAAATTTCCTTCTTAGATCTAGAGTTCAGTTTCTTCCTTTCCTTCTTAGATCAAGAGTTTAGTTTCTTCATTTCCTTCTTAGATCTAGAGTTCAGTTTCTTCCTTTCCTTCTTAGATCAAGAGTTTAGTTTCTTCCTTTCCTTCTTAGATCTAGAGTTTAGTTTCTTTCTTTCCTTCTTAGATCGAGAGTTCAGTTTTTCTTATCTTTCTTGGATTAAAAGTTTAGTTTTCCGTTTTCCCTCTTAGATCTAAAATTTAATTTCTTCCTTTCCTTCTTAGATCGAGGTTTAGTTTCAGTCCGTTTTATCAAGATTTGTAGATTATACTTGTTAGAGTAAAGTGCGTTATTTGGTTAAAGTTAATCCTTTTCAGATTTCAGGGAAAAATACCTTTTACTCTGCACTATAGTTAAGCACAAATTGTTTGAAAAACATACATATTCTAAAGATATTTGAGTAAAAAACCGAAGAAAAACATGAAAATGATTCATCATTCACGGCTAAAGATACAAGCCTGACAATAATAAGTAATTTTGGTTAGGTTGACATCTCTATACTTGCAATAATAAAAGGGTTGAAAGATAGTTATAATCAAATTCAACAATTTATTATATAATGCAAATAACGCACTTTACTAAAACTATTCTATAATTCACACTGAATAGAAGTTCCAGTTTTTATTAAAGATAAATAGATAAAACTTCTTTTGTTTATACTCCCCCCTCCCCCGTCCCCTTGGGACTCTGAACGATAGTTATTTTCTTTCAATATCATTCAATCTAAAGGATGAAGAATACACAGAAAACTATTCAATATACAGCAGATATATATTAAATGGAATGTACAAATAATTGAAATAAATTAATATAAAATCTTATTTTCTAATCCTTATATCTTCGCAACCAAATGTCGTAGACCTTAGTTATTTAAAGCTATGAATTCTGTTAGATCAATAATTTAAGTTTGAAATATCAAAGGTTTACACCATCAGGTTGCAAAATTTGAGTGTATGAGAAAGATTCTATTTCTTTAATTATAACTTTGATTCTGTATGGGGGTCTTTTTTCTCCAATTTTTTAAAGCAAAAAAAATAAAAATTATTGTTCTTTGAAATAAAATATCGTTTAGAAAACTAATGATGTGTATTGAAATACATCTTAAGGACTGGATCTGGTAAGATTTTAAAGCATGAAAAGGATTGTATAATGTACTAAAAATTAATGTTTGTATTCAGGGAAGAACAACCGTCCGACGAATATATCCGAGATAGTATTCATGACATGTAGCTGGATGATGGGGGTATTCGTGTTCGCAATTCTAATAGGTTTGTATCCGTTTATATCACATCAATACATCACAATACAGGGGGACCCACAAAGAAAGAGACTTTAATTGGACTGTACGCGTAATTTCAAGTGACCTTCCATTTATAAAGTGGCTTGTCGGATTCAAAACGGTTACCTGCACACCAAGACTCAAATCCTTTCCATTTTTTATCTTTGAATATTAATAATTTTCAATTTTGGGTTCTCTTGCGGGTTTAAACTGCAGAATGTTAGAAACAACGAGTTTTCAAGGTAGAAAAACAAGGACGAAAATTACACATTATTAATCAGATAAATGTTACGTGGTACCGCGTTGTGAAGTATAGCTTGAAATTAGAAAGACGTAGTCCCTTTAATGACACATTTAACCATGGTAAAATATAATTGTACTTCACTGCGCCTTTTGTACATTATCAATGCTGTACAGTACATAAGTCAGACGACAAGAGTTAGGTTTTACAGCTTAGGAAGGAAGAGCTAACCAGTGCAATACCATTTCTGAGTTCTGTATCTGGTCATGCTTTACTATTTGACTAAGCCTGCAGGGTAGTTGGTTGCAATGATGACATTGAACCCTTGAGTCAACTCTAACTCTTAAATTAAAAATAACTAGGGTGGAAACCCAGCATTGCCGGGAAGCTAAACTTTTTAAATAATAGTCATTTTAGAATTTTTAAACCTAACTAAGAATATTACCGTGGTTCTACCGAGTTCCCCAAGTCAAAATTGAATGCAAATCTGTCAGGGGTTCATAAGTTTTTATTATACATACAAACAAACAAACATGAAGAAAATACTACTTTATATCTATAGATGCTAAAATGAACTATGAGTTCAACAAGCAAGAAAACTGGGGTGGAAGGGGGGAGGGGGGGATTAATCTTGTTTGTAATGAACAATGACAAATCATCAGTCATAATTGTTTTCTCCATTTTTCCCTTTTTTTATGGTCTCAATGTTTTTGGGTTTTTTTTTCAGTCTGATATCTCTGAAAACTAAATTGTTTTGTAACAGGTAACATTCGTGATATCCTGGGCAGTGCCATGCACAATCATACTGAGTTCAGAAGAAAGATGGATGCTGTTACTCATTTCATGCAGATGTTTAAGGTAGGATTTAATTTTATTTAACATTAGCTAAAGTGACCGCGGCGTTGCCCAGGGTAATCATAGTTACTCCCGCCGTTTACCCGCGCATGGTCGTAAATTATAGATATAGCTATTTTTCAATATTAAAGTGGATGAGAACTTAGAATCTTAAAACCAAGTTAAGATCATTGTTGTGGTTTCCCCGAGTTCTCCAATCAAAATTTGAGGCAAATCGGTCAACTGGTTCATGATTTATGATCGTACATAAAAACAAACAAACAAACAGAGATTATCTCTGGGTTCAATATTATCTCCTGGTTATATTTTTTCGCCAAGTTGAATATTATCTCTTGATTCAACATCTCCCCGTTCAATATTATATCCTGGTTAAAAATCATCTCCGGTTTCAGTATACTCTCTTAATTATAAATTATCTCCATGTTCAATATACTTCTTTAAATATAAATTATCTCCAGGTTCAATATACTTCCTTAAATATAAATTATCTCAAGGTTCAATATTATCTCTTGATTATAAATTATCTCCAGGTTCAATATACTCCCTTAAATATAAATTATCNCTTCCTTCTCCTTCTTTCTATCCCGTGGAGAACCTCTTGAAAGATCTTGAAACTCAATTTTATTTTTGCATTTTACTATTTTATTCGATTATTTCCAGAATGTTGGAAACTGGAGAATAATTTGTATCGATGAAATTAACTAATTCTCCAATATAAATATATTTTATAAAAAAGATTATTTTTCTTTACAGGGAATACGTATACGTAATTTCAAGTGACATTTTAAACATTCATCTAAGTAAAAACTAGAAAAATAACGTTGTGATTATTGAAAGTCGTGGAATATTGACAATTTCCTTCTCGAGACGATGCATTAGAAACTTATGCATTAAGGAATGGAGTCTTTGCAACCAAATCTTATTTTTAATCCCTATATATTTACAGCGCAAGGTCGTAGACCTTAGATATTTCAAACTATAAATTATTATAAACAAAAGAATCTATGTTTGAAATATCAAAGGTTTACACCATCAGGTTGCACAGATATAGGGATTAGAAAATTTGAGTTTGCGGTAAAGACTCCATTTCTATGCAAATCACTTGTACAGCTAAAATAATTTTCAAGTTAGTTTGTGAAACAAGAATATCTCATTTATTCATGATCAGTACAGAGGTTTACAGGTTGAAGTTGTGAATCTCTCATGCCACATGAAATTATGTCTTCAGTCCATTATAAAATTCTAAATGACAAAAAACTGTATTTAATTGTAAAAAATAACTAAATTTGAAACAGAAAAACAGAAAACAATATGAACATTTTCGTAAATATTTTTCCAATAAATAAATAGAAATATGTTTGATAAACACCAGAAGAATTTGTAATTTGGAAAAATGATAAAATCAAAACAGTATCTTAGGGAAAATTAAATCTATCTAGAAAAGAAATTTATTTTTATTTTCTAAGATATCCCTCATTTTCATTGATTTTTCATTGAAAGCTATACATGTATGGTACGATCTCTGATAAATTGTAAAATATAAACGATTTAAAAAAAAACTATTGAGAATAATATTAAATACTAGTAAAACATTCTAATCTAAAGGAATTGAGTCTTTGCCACAAACTCTGATTTTCTAATCACTATATCTTTGGAACCAAATGTTGTATACCTTAGATATTTCAAACTATGAATTCTGTTAGATCAATTAATCTGAGTTTGAAATATCAAAGGTTTACAACATCGGTTTCTAAAGATATTGTGGTTTAAAAATTTGATTTTGTTCCAAAGACTCAATTCCTTTTAAATAACTTCAACTCTAATCAAACCCAAAAATAATTTGCAATTTTGTTGTGTTTAAAAATTCTATATCTACAAACTTTGAATGCATTTTAACAACATGTAGATAATTAAAAAGCATAGTATATAAATGTTCGGTTTAAGTCATTTATTTTGAATTAGATTTAAAACTTGACTTGATTTATTGAAGTTTTTCAGTGTGTTTAGTTAAATTATTAACTGATAGAAATGAGAAAAAATTTACAGCGTTTAAAAATTTTTAATCTTTCGTCCACTGAAAGTTATCATTAGAGTTATGTTTTGAATATTCATGACAGAAACAAATCTCAAGATCTGCAAACGGTCAACACAGAGCAAAATATGTATTTTTTAAATATAGAACTAACACCTAGCTACACTTTATTTACTCTATGATGATTTGATCATCCTCAGCACCAAATTTTAAATTAACAAAAAATGTCAGCTCATTCGGTCCAGCCGTTTGGCCGACTTTAGGCAACATATATATATGAATGTCTTGTTTTGTTATAAACTAGCTGGAATGCCCGGCGTTGCCCGTGGAAAAAAATGTCTGAAAAAAATAATTTACGATTTTTTAAGCCTTTATCACCAACCATGAGTGTCCACAAAAAAATTCGGTCCAGCCGTTTGGCTGACTATACGCAACATATATATGAATGTCTTGTTTTATTTTATAGACTAGCTGAAGTGCCAGGCGTTGCCCGTGGAAAAAAAATTGAAAAATGTTGAATTTTCTTTAAATTTTCGATTTTTTAGCCTATGACACCCCACGGCCACCCATAAGTGTTCTCAAAAAAATTCAGTCCAATCGGTCCAGCCGTTTTGTCGGCTATACGCAACATATATATGAATGTCTTGTTTTATTATATAGACCCGCGAAGGGCCGGGCGTTGCCCGTGGAAAAAAAAAGTTTTTAAAAAATGTTGAAACAAATTATTTTTTTTTGTTTGTTTTAGTCTATAACACCCCCTGGCCACCCATGAGTGTCCACAAAAAAATTTTGCCCAATCGGTCCAGCCGTTTGGCCGGCTATATGCAACATATATATGAATGTCTTGTTTTATTTTATAGACTAGCTGAAGTGCCAGGCGTTGCCCGTGGAAAAAAAATTGAAAAAAAAAAAAATATTTTGGCCACCCATGAGTGTCCACAAAAATTTTTTGCCCAATCGGTCCAGCCGTTTGGCCGGCTATATGCATCATATATATGAATGTCTCGTTTTATCATATAGAAAAACAATTAAATATGCAGATAGTCGTTGTATACTGCTGTTTAAGAATACTGGCCAATTTCCTAAATATCTTGATAATCCTTTTAAGAAGTAACAAGAATCCTGAACTTTTTTTAATATAAACATAACATTAAACTAATTTCTTATAAAAATTGGTCGTGTGTTTTATTCTTCCCAGTCTGTACCTAGACAATAAGATATTTAAAAATTGAAAAGTATAATTGTCAGAATAAGCTTAAATAGATGATTTAGTTTATCCCATAAAGGCTTAGTTACCAAGATATTTTATCTTTACTTTTGTGACATATGGTGTACTTTGTATTAATACCGTAAACCTCTTTCTTTTTTCATATCTTCTCTGTCACAGTAGGATATTATATTATTGAATCTTACCAGATAGACTAGAGATAGGCAGAGATAGACTGAAAAAAGACCAGGGATAGATGAGGGATAGATGAGGGATAGATCAGGGATAGATCAGGGATACATAAAGGATAGATCAGGGATA